CAAAACTCATTTATTACTAAAAGGAAATGCAAAACGAAGAGGTTTAAAGAAATGCGTCAAAAGAAAACTGGCAATGTACCTCTGGGCTCTAAGTCCACAGTGCACAGCCCAGCCCACCTATCCCTCTTCTCCTTCCTACAGTGCACAGGGAGCTTGGTGGCCTCACTTGTTGCGTCCACGTCGCGGATCCTCCACGCGGCGGCCATCCGGATCTTCCTGGCATCTACAAGACCCCCTCCTTGATCTTGGACGAACCCTAGCTGCCTTATCCCCTCTTTCTCGGTCGCCCCCTTCTCCACAACACGCACCTGCTGCCATCGTCACCGTTCCCCGCTCTTCGTCGTCCCGCGCCGCCAGCTGATATCCGGGATGGATCACCGTCATCCTCTACGTCACCTACGCATAACCGTTCGAGCTTGGAGGCGCGAAATCGCCGCCATCGACCGCGTCATCTTCTTCACCTACGGCCACCGAGGGCTCCACCGTCGATCCCCGGCTGTCACTGCCTCACCGTCTCCCCTGAGCCCTACATGCTCACTGTGAGCTCCTCTCCATGTTTCCCTGCCTTTCCCCTCGATTTCGTCGTAGTTTGGCCACGCCCACCGGGGCCCATGCCCATCCCGCTTCTGTACTACGCCGCCTGAACTCCGGTACGCACCGCCATGCTCCCGCCCGCGCGTGGCCGCCCTCCTGCGTCCTCGTCTGCATGCTGCTCTTGCTCTGTTGCCGCGCCGCTACACACCGCAGCCGCCGCGTGTGCCCGCGCCGTCTCATATTCCTCACCGTAGCTCGCCCGCCCCACCGTTGCCGCTCGCCCTCCCACCCCTGCCTCCGCCGCGCGGCCCCTCCCCGGCCCCCCACATGCTTCACCCGCTGCCTGCTGCTGCCGCTGTAGCAGCAGCTGCGCCCCACCGAGCCCGCAATGACTGCTGTTGTTGCTACCGCTTTTCCCCGCCTGCCCGCGCGCCGCTGCTGCCCCTTCGTCGGTTCGCCACACCGCGCCAAGCCCGCACGCCCGCTGGCTGCTGTCGCGGCTCCAGCCACCTGCCCTCGCGCCATCGCCGCCGCTGCCGCGCTCCACGCCTTGCCCCCGCGCCCCTCCCGCTTGCGAGCTGCTACTCATCGCCTGGCGCACCCGCGCTGCCGCCGCCGCCGCGCTCCGCTCACACCGCTCGCCGCTGCTACGCCGCCGACCACCGCCTGGCCGCACACCCGCCTCCGTTCACCGGTGCGGTCGCCGCCCTACCGCGCTTGGTCGCCGTTGTGCTCCGGGCACGACTCGCTCTTTCCCGTCCGCTCGCTGGTCGGTCTCCTCGCCGCGGCCGGGGCCCTCCCCTAGTCGTGCCATGGCCACGGCCCCGCCTCCGCCCTCTGTCATCTCCGTGCGCGGGCGCGGGCGCCCGCACCCGATAACGCCCGCACCCGCTAAAGGCCTATGGGCCACTCACAGCTGGGCACGGCCCCCGGTTAAAAAATCTTCTTTTTAAAATAAATAAATATAGAAGCAATTAATTAATTAACTAATTAGGTAATTAATTATCTTAATTAACCTTGCTTAATTAGCCTAATGAACTAGTTTAGTTAATTTAAATCTGCTAATTAGTTAGGTCAATGACAGACGGGCCCCACTGCCCTGTTTGACCACTCAACGGTCTGTGTTGACCGCTGATGTCATGATGACGTCATGCTGGTGCAATAACTCTGTTTTAGATTTAATAATAAATTCAGAAATTGTTTAAATCTTTGATAAATCACAAAAAATAATCCGTAGCTCGGATGAAAATGTTCTCTACATGAAAGTTGCTGAGAAAAATCCAACGAATCCGATTACACGGTCCGTTCATCTGTCATATGCCCCTAGCATGCTGAACATGGAACTTTCCCCCTCTTTTCCTCTGTCCAGAATCCGCCTAACGCCGGGAATTCATCCTCGGATGTTTATGCCCTTCGTCTACAACGTGTAGTACTACGTTAGGTCGACCCTAGTTCTTCTTATCGTCTTGTCATGCTTAGTGGTACCTTTGTTTACTTTATATTTACCGTTTCTCCCCCCTCCTCTCTCCGGTAGACCCCAAGACTGATGATGCCCCCGTGATCGACTACATCACCGACGACTCTTCTTCCTTTGCAGCAGAGCTTCCAGGCAAGCCACCCCCTTTGATCATCCTGATATCACCCATTCCATTCTCTCATGCTTGCATTAGATTTTGCTACTGTTATTGTTTGCTCCTATTCTGATGCATAGCCTGCTTTTGTAACTTGCTTATTGTTACCTTACATGACTGCTTAGTATAGGTTGGTTAGTGATCCATCGGTGACCCCCACCTTGTCCTTGTTGCCCCTGCTTCATCATCGAAGACCCAATCAACGTGATCGACGACCAGAGCCTGGCACCTCACATCACATCACGCCCCTTTTGGTGCTCGACTCTTTAGAGTTACCATCGAGTGCCGAGGGTGGAACCTCATACTTCACTCCTGATGAGATCTCTGTAGTGTAGCTATTCAGTCGAGGTCATCGAGGGTGATTCCCTCCTTAACCACTTCCGATACGACTCTGTCGTGCAACCCCTCAAGTGTGAACCTCGAGGGTGGTTCCTCTTACGTTCACCTTGATGATTACATCAAGTGGGATCCATTGAGGGTGGTTCCTCAGGGTTCCCCTTGGTGTTAGACACATAGTTACTATGGTTACTATGACTTTACACCGAACCATGTTACTAAAGACGGGTACCCGCGCGAGCTTATTTGCGAGTGATGTGGAGTTGGGTTGACCTGGAAGGTGCCCGCGAGATACCTACGAGGCATGGCCGGGCATTCTTAGCCCTTGTCGCAAGTCCTCAAGACGGGGCGACGGGGTCACATCTTTCGTGAGTCTCTGCTTGTTACCGTGTGCTCCTAATCCACTACGATTTGGATAATTGACCCGAGGGCCTCTGGCCTGATAGCACTAACCATCACGTGGGCATTGTATGGGCGTTCTGCATTGTATGCATCAGCCGAAGCTTATTAGACGTCAGCGACTGAGCGGCGCGCGCCGGGTTGGACTGGTAAGCTCCTGCCTTTTTAAGGAGGTAGCTAGGTCTGCTCACCGGCCGCCCATGAAACGTGCAGGAGTTCCCGGGGCGATGGCCCATGACCCCTGGGGCATAGGTTTAGTCCGGCGTGCTGACCTCTCTATTTAGCCTAGGTCGGGTTGCGGCGTATTGTTTGGCCGAGGCTGAGCATGACCCAGGAAAGTGTGTCCGGCCGGAGTTAATCGAGCGTGGTGGGTAAGTTGGTGCACCCCTGGAGAGGAGAAAACATCTATCGATAGCCTGTTCTACGGTAACGGACACTTGGAGTTGTATCCCGATCGATACAACTAGAACTAGATACTTGAGGTAATAACTGGATAGTATGGCTCTGGATTGATTTCTCGCATGGATTCGAGAAAGGATCTATGGGCGAGGTTGATGACACTACCACTACCTTACTTTATGCTACTCTTTTACTCTTCTAAATGCTGCAAGATGTTTGAAGATACTGACGATGCTAGTCTTCGATATGACTAGGTCTTCTCTCTATTCTGGCATTTCTGCAGCCCAGTCCACATATACACCCCCTCTTTGATAATGGTGCATATGTAGTGTAGATCCTTGCTTGCGAGTACTTTGGATGAGTACTCACGGTTACTTTGCTCCCCTTTTTCCACGTCTTTTCATTCTTCCCGGATGCTGCAACCAGATGGTGGAGCCGAGGATCCAGAAGTCACCTTCGACGACGACTGCTACTACACTGAGGGTGCCTACTACTACGTGGAGGCCGTCGCCGACCAGGAGTAGTTAGGAGGCTCCCAGGCAGGAGGACTTGCCTTTTCGATCGATGTTGCTTTTGTGCTAGCCTTCTTAAGGCAGACTTGTCTAACATATGTCTGTACTCATATATTGTTGCTTCCGCTGACTCTTGTGTATTTGAGCTTATGTATTCGAGCCCTCCAGGCCCATGACTTGTAATATAAAGCTTGTATTATTTTATTTGTGTCTAGAGTTGTGTTGTGATATCTTCCCGTGAGTTCTTGATCTTGATCATACACATTTGCGTGTATGATTAGTGTACGACTGAATCGAGGGCGCCACAAGCGATGACGGCAGCGCGCCTTCTGCTCGCTTCAGTGCTTGTAGTCGTCGCTAGATGCTCTATGAATCTAGATATAATTTTTATTATTTCTGCTGTTCGTTGTACTACCATGATTGAGGATGAATAGGTCGACAGTTTCTCAAAAAAAGTATATTTTATGTGTTTACGCATAAGGATGGGTTCTCAATCAACAAGTATATCATTTGTAAAATATTAATCTTGAAATAACCTTGTAAAAACAAAGTTGTACACTCCATTCATTTTGAATTACGTGTCGCAAAAATGGACAGAATTTCGGAGAGAGGGAGTACAAGAATTTCAGTCGAGACGTATGTTGCACGTACGCTTACTAGTGAGCTATAAGGGCATGTATAATGCATAGCCTTAAGGTGATGCCTCGCATGCCATGTAGGATCAGATATGCCGTAAAGTAGGTTTGGATAAGGAAGCGGGATCCTATTCAGGAGGCGGGTGCTTGAAGAGAAAAAGTGTGATCCGGTAATAAAATCTGAAAAGATTGAAGTGAAAAGTAGAGATGCATGTGTACTAGAGTCTTTATTTTCTATTTTTTAATGAGGCCCATTAGTGATTGCTTGCATTGGAGAGAAAAAATAAATGTAGATGCCTCAAATTATTTGTCTTAAATTACTTTTTATCATGAAACATATGTATCCACATGTCATCATTGTACATGCCCTAACAATCAAGCCTTTTCTTTATATTTTCTTTGTTTTTAGGGAAACTGAGCTTCTCCCCTTTTTTTCCGGCACGATTGCAAAAGCCCGTTTGCACACAAAGCCGAGCCCAGGCGCGGTTGTCTAAGAGAGCGACGAAGACCGCCTGCTCGCCCGACCCACGCACCTCCCGGACCACCACGCCACCATGGCCGCCGCCTCCCTGTCTCGCCTCTCTCGCCGCGCCTCCGCCGCCGCGGCGCCTTCCCTCCGCCGGATCCTCTCCTCCACCGCCACCGCCCCCGCTGCGCCATCGTCCTCACCACCCCCCGTCGCAGCCGCGGCGGCAGGTGCGGATCGGGTGCGGTGGGATTACCGCGGGCAGCGGCAGCTAGTACCACTCGGGCAGTGGCTTCCCAAGGTGGCCGTCGACGCGTACGTTGCTCCCGACGCCGTGCTCGCCGGGCAGGTCACCGTCCACGACGGCGCCTCCGTCTGGAGCGGCTCCGTGCTGCGGGGCGACCTCAACAAGATCACTCTTGGGTTCTGCGCCAACGTCCAGGAGCGGTCCGTCCTCCACGCCGCCTGGTCGGCCTCTACAGGTCTTCCCATTCTATATGCGATCTGTTTCTTCTACCTTGTCTAGTACCCAGATCTGACCACTATGACTGCTTGCGGAATGTTCTCGGATGAATTAGCTAGTAGTATGTGGTGCTGTGGTTGGTATGATTCCGTCCTAATTGGACGAGCGATTGGTTATATCTTAATTAATTGGATAATTTGATCTTTCGTGAAATATAATAATAACTGTACTCCCTCCGATCCATATTTCTTGTGGCTCAATTGGATAATAAAGTTTGATGATTTGGATTTGGGGTAATTTGACTGGGAGAGCTGAAGGTAATTTACATTTCGGAGGTCTATGCGCGGCATTCTTGAGATGAGCACCGTTCTTTATATTTCGTTTGTTGGTGTTGAAACGAGGAGGGTGGAGTACCAGCTTGCTGTCAATCGCCATGGCGGCGCACTCTCTTGTTCTCGTGTCAGTCTCTTTTCCAATACCCTTTGCTTCTCTTCTATTAGGTCAGCCACCATGCGCCTGGGCCACTTGGGTCAGCAATACATGGGCCCCTCATCCAACACACCCCCTCAAGAGGGGTGATAGATATCTATCATTTCCCTTACCAATCCTCTAGTCACATGCCAGATTGCATTCTTTAGTTACCAATCCTCTAGTCAAGCATTCTGCAATCTCTTGCCCACAACTCACATGCTCAATCTTGATGATCCCAGCGTCAAGCTTTTCTTTGATGAAGAATCTGTCTATTTCCACTTGTTTGGTTGTATCATGCTGCACTGGATTGTGTGCTATGTTGATTGCTGATTTGTTATCACACCACACATTCATACAACTAGTCTTCAATATCTTCAGTTCTTCTAATAAATCTCTGGTCCACAACATTTCACTTAGCTTCCTCTCCGTCGTGCGATATGCGAGTGCAGCCGTCGTTTAAGGCAACGACAATGATGTAGATGAGCTATAGAGAGGTTGAATAGGTGAGGGCTCTCAACGCGCTGATCTCGGCTGGGGCGAGAGCGGCGCAGGAGAAGCTACCTTGATCGATTGCAACCTCGTGGCGGCCGAATGTCCTCAGGCTCAACTTGCCGATTGCTTTCAGGCAAGAACGACTTGATATGCAAAGCTAGCTGGTTGGTACTTTCTACCGGGAGCAAGTCGAGAACGTACCACACGTGAAGCTGCTTATCCTGCAAGCTGATCGACTTCCCGTATGGAACATCGGAGTTGCAGCAAATAGCTAGGTAGTCGTGATCAGTTACTTTAGTTGTTGCTGCCACGAAAAATCAATGGACCTTGTCTAGCTAGCTTTGCACATCTAATTGATTGCTAGTTCCGCTAGCTTACTGCAGGTTGTAGCTGAACCAAATTGATGAGATTCTAGATTTCTAGTACGTGCATTGACAAGGATTCTTGAGTACGCCTTGATGCATCCTATCTAGAATCGAGGATAGAACGGGCGAGGAGCAAGTTAAAAACAAGGCAAGGTAATTAGAGAGATAGGGTGATGAGACAAAGAGTCAAAAGATGTGATTGATGAAGAAAAGTCATAAACTGGCATCACGTAACCTGAACCGGGTAAAAAAGTTGGATTACGTGATTTATCATCTGGTTCAATTATATTGGGAGGTTCTTTTATACCTGAAAATAGAGTAGGGGGAATAGTGTCCCAGACCTAATAGTTTAGGGTGCTAAACATACTTATCTCTTATCCCCTCAACTATCTTAAACCAGACAAATCACCCCCTGAGCCCCTATTTATCCAACCAGCAGAAATACCAAACCCTAGCCTAGATGCTAGCCACGCCACACCTAAAATGCAACACTCCGGTTGAACTCTAAGCCGCACAGGAAGAAAATTATTCAATCATTTATCCTTATTTGGATTGTGGAGTTCATGCCGATTCTATGCTTTGGTTGGTCAAAGTCACATTCTGATTTTCCCCTGTTGTTGCTTCCTATGGCCGATTCTACTTTTAGGTTAATCCATGTGTCTACCCTTCAGTGTATTTAGCCAACTCAACTTAGTCAGGTTACCCTGTAAAGTGCATTGGCATTTGATCTCTACTTTTTTTGTTTACAAATGCCGATTCTATGCTTTGGTTGGTCAAAGTCAAATTCTGATCTTTCCCTGTTGTTGCTTCCTGTGGCCAATTCTACTTTTAGGTTAATCCATGTGTCTACCCTTCAGTGTATTTAGCCAACTCAACTTAGTCAGGTTGCCCTATAAAGTGCATTGGCATTTGATCTCTACTTTTTTTGTTTACAAATGCTTGTTCTTATTTTAAATTTCCTTGAATGCTTCTGAGAAGATAAGATGTTTATGATTTTTTTTTCTCTTGCTTAGTTGAATTGCTTAAGCGCGAGGCCCGATGGCAGCTCGTAAAACTAGTCAGTTGAGGTTTAGCTTGGATGTGTTGTATCTTGCATCCTGCATTGCTTCTTATTACAAATAGTTGTTACTAGCAAATATGCCCGTGCGTTGCAACGGGAGAAAAAAGAGAAAAAAAATGCATGTTCTTAGCCAATAAACATGGTTTTGAAGCGGTGCATTTTTTGATCTGAAAAGAAACATTTTGGTTTGGGTGTGATTGCAAACATCATGCTTCAAATATGAAATCTTAGAGAAGAACAATCAGAATGCCCATATGTTTAGGATTCATGGAGAAGAAAAGAAACAAAATTTACCCGTAGTTGCAAGAATATGTGTAATGAGCATGTTCGGGGAAGTATGAGGATGCCGTCACAGCAGCCTGACCGTCCCTAAGCAACATCGCACTGCATTGATTAATTTGAGCGATAATTCGATAACTCTTAGGAGAAAACAACTCAAATTAGTTGTTCGTCCAAAACAACACTGTGGCAGGCATGCTCCCGTCAACCACTAGTGTTAGCGCATGCAAGCACGTCTCGACCCGCTTCATGATTGGACACAGAGGCGTGAGCCGGTAGCCTGAATCCAGGTGCATATCCATGCACTCAACTTTTTCCTTTTTTCAAATATCATTTTTCCTTCGATTAAAGTAACCTCGTGATCTAGCGTGCCGGCTTATCTCCACGTCATCCTGGGGCCTTCGATTTTAATCCCGTAAAGCATGATTGGGTCCTTTTTTTTTCTCCGAGGTGTGCTTGTGCCGTAGCCTAGGGCGTTTGGTTTTAGTCCCCTAAAGCACAGCTGGGTCCTTATTTTTCCTCTGAGGCGTGTTTGCGCCGTGTAGCTGCATGCTTTTCAGTTTTTTTCCATTCTATTATCGAGATCTCCCTTTTTCTCCGAGACGCCCTCTATGTAGCCGTGTCTTTTTCGTTATTTATTTGATCGCTTCTCTCTCCTTGGAGGATTCCTTCCCGCTCAATATTTGCGAGCAAATGAAACACACTTCTTGCCCTCTTATTATTGGTTCTTGAGGCGGTTTACTGATTTCAGATCAGAGAAGTATATAAATCGGTGGAATAAAATGTATGGAAGCGAGGTGGTACTATTTAATAGGAACGAATCCTCTCTTCTTCACACGAGCATGAGGTGGCTCAGTTGGACGCCGTGGTCGAGACTGCTCCACTGGTCAGGAGTTCGATCCCTGGAACCAGCCATTATCTTTTTGCCTCTTCTCCTAGGCATCATGGGCCTGGGCCGCAGTCCTTCACGGATGCAGACGCATGGAGGGCTGGTCTGATGGGCCGCTGCCGCTAGATGGACCACAAAAAATCAGTACCACCTTGGATACAAAAAATCTCAAAAAATACAATATGGGTGAAGGGATAAAAAAATCGGAGAAACGCACCTTGCTATATATATAGGCTTGCTAAAGTGAACCAGAGCTTAGAATTATTATTGTGTGCGCTGCCTACCGAGCCGTAACCAGATAAGGAAAAAAGTAACTGCATGCACCATTCCGCCGATCCATCCCACCCCACGTGGTACCTAACTTTCTTTTGATCGTAAGTGTCAAGCCACATGTAGTAATTTGCACTCCATGCGTTACTATAGCGTGAAACTTTTAACCTTTACGGTGATTTGCCATGTGAAAATCCCTAATAGTTGTACCCATGATCCATTACTTGAGCAAATACTCTCACTTTACCATTGGAGAACTCTTATTACTACTAATGCTCATTACATTTACTAGGAGCAATTGTCCAGATGGTAATGGTTACGATGGTTGATTACTATATACCATAACTATTTTACGAGCCATGAAAATGGTAGCGGACACTAATAAAACTAGATCATGCAGCAGTGATGTAATAACTTATTTTACTATCTTTCCTCTTGTTCATTACTATGTGGCCTAATTATGTGCGCGGACCGTGAACGAGTGGGGGGCAATAGTAACAAAATTAGTATGGCTATTAGATTCCCCACTAAATTTACTACTAGGCGGAAGAAAAATACGTGAAGTTTGATGGTTGGTTGATTAGAGAGAAAACTAGATCATGCAGCAGTAACATAATAAATTCTTTTACTATCTTTCCTCTTGTTCATTACTATGCGGCCTAATTATGTGCGCGGACGGTGAACGATTGGGGGGCAATAGTAACAAAATTAATATGGTTACTAGATTCCCCCTAAATTTACTACTAGGCGGAAGAAAAATACGTGAAGTTTGATGGTTGGTTGATTAGAGAGGCGAGGGACGGAGGCCGTGGTGCGCGCAGTCTGTCCGGAGCGCACGATTAGCAACTTTGCGCTCAGGCGCACTTTAGCGCAGCAGTATATATATACTCCCTCCGTCCGAAAAAGCTTGTTCCAAGCTTATCCCCCAAATGGATGTATCTAGCACTAACTTGGTGCTCGACACATCCATTTGAGGGACATATATATATATATATGTATGTATGTATGTATGTATGTATGTATGTATGTATGTATTACAGATATGGGTATGGATTATGGTGGTCAGCAACCAGTTTCCAGTCTATCACCGATAGCTGGAAATTCCTGGTCTGGACAGATATAGTTGAGCAATTTGTAGTATGACCGAGTGCATGAGATACAGATAAAAAAGATAACAAGGGCAATATGACCAGCTCCATTCATTGTTGAATATATGCAACATGAAACTACTTGGCACCCAAAGCTTGTAGCTGGTATGTATGAGTTAGGGCATCCGACAATGTACTTGGTGTATCGTTGGAGGGAAATGCCGCTGCTCATAGGCCTTGGCGAAGGAGATAACGGTGTGGAGGTCAGATGGCCGCTGAAGCTTGAGGTCAATGAGAAGACCATTGGGCAGCCCTGTTTTCTACAGAAACCGTTGTTGGGACAGTGTTAATGGCTAATTGTTGCGGCACATGAGCACTAGAAATCTGCTGGTGTAGTCGGCGACCGCGGAAGTGAACGGCAGACGTGCCAACTCGCCCAAGGTATTGGCGCGGAGTGACAGCCCAAACTGGAAGTGGCAAGCTTCCTTGAACTGCAACTGTGTCGGCATGCTGATATCGCACTTGAGCTGTAAGTAACAAAACTAAACCTCACTGGTGAGGTGGTAGGCTGCAGTCTAGACTTTGTCAGCCACGTCTGTGCGCTGTCCGTGAAAAAAACTGTTCACACCTATTGAGCCAACTAAGAGGATCGACCGGACCATCATACGCCGGGAAGTCGAGCTTTGTGGAACCGAGGCACGCCTGAACCAGAACCTGAACCTCATCCGAGGTGATTGTTTGGTAGGGGCGGAAGGGAGGAGATGGACGGGGTGGATCCATAGATGGGTTGTGGAGGGGGGTGAGGCCATAACGGCATATGAAACTGGTTGGCAGGTGGAGGCGTGAAGGTGGTAGAGGCGGCGGTGAAAATCTGCGGCTGCTGCTGTTGCTCATGGTAGGGTTGCTGCTGCCGATGGTACGGCTG